TTAAGATTTTATTTTAAAAATAATGCTTTTAAAAAAATTTCAGGGCAAATTTGCAGGAGAAACGGTTTAAGAGATAAAGTTCTTGTCTAATAACTAAATATGAAATCTTTGCTATTGTAGCTGCGAAGCTTAATTACAACATAAGATCCCTGACTGCTATTTCAGCCGCGGAGCCTAAACACCATATAAGATTCCTGTATTTATATCGCGGTCACGGAGCCTAATTACAACGTAAAATACTTGCACCGCTATCACGGCCGCAGAGCCAATTATCACGTAAGGTCCTTCACTGCTGTTGCTGCCACAGAGGCTAATTATCAGATATAAGGTCATTACACTACTACTGTAGCCATGGAGCCTAATCACAACATTGGGTCCTAGCAATGCTATCGTGGCCGTGGAGCCTAATCACCATACAAGAGGTCCCGCACTACTATCATAGCTTCAGAGCTCAATCAACATTATTTAACCCAAACATGAGGTCTTTGCACTACTATCACAGTCGCGGAGTCTAATCATCAAGCACAAGACTTGCGATATTATTGAACCATGGGGTCTAATCCCCAAGATCCTTGTACTGCTATCATAGCGGCAAGGCCTAATTATCTAACATGAGGTTCTTGCATTGAATTGTAGCTGCAGAGCCACGAAGCCGAATCTCAGTATGAGATCCTTGCATTGCTATTGCAGCTGTGGAAATTAAATCATCAAACATTGGCTCTTACATTGCTATCACAGCAATCAAGGATGTTCTATAGAATAGGTGGGCAAACTCCGCAAACTCCGCAACCCCGCTATTAAAAAATTAATGATTACTAATCATTAGCGAACTTATTTCTTATATTGCCCACCTATTCTATAGAATATCTGCAGTGGGATATGAGTCTTGCACACCATTGTATTTGCGGAGTCTAAATTCTATATGGGTCCTTGCAATGTTATTGCAATCACAAAACTTAATTACCAAAAATGAGATTTTGCACTGCTATCGTAGCTGCAATGTTCAATTACCAACATGAGGTTCTTACACTACTAATGCAGACATAAAGCTTAATTGCCAACATTTGGTCCTCTGTATTCACAGAACCCAATCACAAATATAAGAATCTTGCATTGCTATTAGAGCCATAGTGCCTGAACACCAAACTTAAGGCTCTTGCAGTGTTCTTAGTAAATAAGTCACCGAGAGAAGGGTAAGTAGTGCGAGACGATAGAGCCAGCCTTCACTACAAGGCGAGCGATAGCGAAAAGAAAGATAACAATCTCTACTAACTGAAGACCCTTAAATATTCCTAGAAAACATTCTTGCCTATCAAAGTGACTCATATCTTCCACAATCACAATAATGGTCAGAAAAATACTTGCATCTAACAAGATACAATAAGGATTATACACAAAAACCCATAAAGGTAAAACGACAAATTGAACATGTGATTCAATAGAGTCATCTGATTTCGCAATGATCGCCCTGTCACTTCGTTGACAGGTTTTCAATTTGATATATATGTTGTGCATCAGATTAAAATTTGCGTCAGATCCAAATTTAAATACGGGTTTTATTAGGGTTAGGTGGGTGCCTATGTTAGGTATTAGCAGAATGATAATGTTTTTAATCTGACGTAGATTCTAATTTGATGTATCTATATAAATATTCATTTTAATATCTGTATGCTTTTGTCTAACTTTGGTAATTTGGTTGGATACTATATATCAAGTAGTTACATGCCTTTAACACAATATGATGGTCAGTTTCGGATCACCACGACTCAATAACCAAAACACAAAAAAACTTAAAACGCAGTGAAGCCTACTCGAAAAGCAAGGAAGATTGGTTTGAGAACCAGGTCCCTATTGTCGGAAACTATGGCTAACAATACTTATTTACATGACTATGAATTTTACTTATATTATTCATTATCTATGCTTTTCCTCGATCTAAACCCCGAAATAGTATTTGTTAAATGCTATCTCACTTGCCGACCATTGAATATTAAAGGTCCTAGGCCAGTGGTTCAAGTCATATGTTCTTATTCACGGTCTTGGTCATATACTTGAGGTCAGATCATATTTCCCGTTACAACGGGTTACAACGCGTTGTGCTAGTATATTGTTATTATAAGCTGGGACCAGGCTACACTGTGCACTTAAAAAGATTTACATAGAGAATGCATTTATGGAGGGCACACTTAGGGAGGTCTCTCTGTATAATGCAGTATATTTCCAGAATATAGTACGTATCTCACAATTCCCACGAATATGGTTCAATTTAAAAATTGAAGTTTTGAATAACACAGATATTACGTAGTGGCCATAAGATCAAGTTTTCATTGAATATTTTGTATTAGACCTCAGGTTTTTAGTCAGTATTACTACAATACGTTGGGGTATTCAGTAAACTATGTAAATCAAAACTGTGTAGACCATGTAATAATTAATTATTTTTTTTTTTGTGTTTGAATTTAATGATTAAGATCACACATCTCTACCTGCAACCAAGTATTTCTCTTGTAAATAGTATATACTTAATATAAAACAGAATTGTTGTAGATAATTGGAAATTGGAATATTAACGTTAAAAAAAATTAAATGTAACATAGTTTAAATGTGTTTAGGAATAGATTTATGCTAAAAAAAAATTGAAAAAAGTAAGGCGATTCGCTTTAGACATCTAAAAATTCTCAAGTCGTTCTTTACTATTGAAATTAAATGTATAAATAACGATAAAATAATCTAATCACTATCCTAATCATTAGATTTAAAAAAATTTTAATAATTAATTTTTATAGGTACTACACATAGTTTTTGATTTACATAGTTTACTGAGCACCCCAAAGATACGTACCATAAATTCTTGAAATAGCGGGCATGGGCATTATTTCGAATTTCGGCCGAATTTAAGCTTAATTCGGGCCAAATTCGAAATAACGCCCATGCCGAAAATTTACGGTAGTAATTGCCTCGGTCGCGGACCGGCCTTTTGGAATTATGTCCAATTTACTGATCTTTTGAGGGACCGATGCAACCCTAATTATGTTTAATATCGAGTTTTTTGTTTTTTCTTAAGACAAACGTTTAATGGTTGTTTTTTTAATACTATTTCAATTATCTGTCAAATTACCAGCGAGTAAGTATACAGTAAAATCTTGTGAATATTGCATGTGTGATTTTTGATACTTAACGATTTAATCTCTGGTAAGCTGTTGCCTAAAAAATGTGCATGCTACCTGATTTGGTTTTCAATAAGCTAATTAAATACATATCAATATTGATTGTGTTCTAAGCTCCGAAATTCGTAGGTTAAAAAATGCCTCGATGTCGATGAGGCTGAAAAGGTAAATTCTTCGACGTCTAATCGACATTTTATATTTGACGTTGAGATGAGAAATTTCGCTTAAAATAGTCAAAGTAGATATTACAAGTTTAAACCGAGAAATTGAACAATCACCCCTAGTCAATCCGAAAGATACGGTAATTTATAGTGACGTTAAAAATGTATAACCTTATATTTATGTAATTATTATATTAATTTGAGATGGATTTTAGACCCCAAGAAACCTGATTTTAAAGCTTTTTCAAATTATTTTCAAGAATTTGATGAGTTCATCAGAAGATCAGAAATTAGTGAAGGAATGGAAATTAAATCATGTGTTATATCTTGCCGGCAACAATTTTAAACCAAGTAATGGTATAATTTTAGGTTACGATGGAAAATTAGATATTGTTACATATTCAGGAGAACCGGTAGTGTATGCAGTAGTTAATAACCGTTCAGATAAACCAAAATCATTTTGGGATAAGTTACGAGATAGTTATCCAGAGTTTTCATTGACAAAAGAACCCCCTATTAATGAAATCTTTGAAACCGATATTTGTCTTCTATTCCCAATTGCTGAGGTCTCTTACACGTATAATGGACCAATAAATAATGTTTTTAAGTTTGATTTAAATAATGAAGAGGAGGACTTCATAACAGATAAATATGCCGAATATGGCACTTTTTTGCTAAAAAATTGCTTGTCGGAGGAAAGTTAATTCTGAGAAACTTCGCTGATGCCAATTCTGTGCAAATTGAGCACTTAAAATCATCTGGTATGGGCACTTGATTCATATCATTCACAAAGAGAAAATCCATTTGAGGATGCAACAATATTCGATTTTTCTATTATTGAGACAACAAATAAAAACTTTTTAAAAACCCCAAAAGATCTAGCAGAGTGAATTAGACGCTTTTATAATGATA